GAAATCAAGACATTGTAAAACAAAACCAAAAGAATGAAAAAATAGAAGACAATGTGAAATATCTCACTGGAAAAACGACTGACCTGGAAAACAGATACAGGAGAGACAACTAAAAAATTATTGGACTATCTGAAAGCCATGATCAAAAAAAGAGCCTAGGCATCATCTTTCAAGAAATTATCAAGGAAAACTGCCCTGATATTCTAGAACCAGAGAGTAAAACAGAAATGGAAAGAATCCACCAATCACCTCCTGAAAGAGATCCCCAAAGGAAACTCTCAGGAATATTGTAGCCAAATTCCAGAGTTCCCAGGTCAAGGAGAAAATACTGCAAACAGCCAGAAAGAAACAATTCAAGTATTGTGGAAACACAATCAGGATAAGATAGGATTTAGCAGCTTCTACATTAAGCGACTGCAGGGCTTGGAATATGATATTCTGGAGGGCAAAGGAGATAGGATTACAGCCAAGAATCACCTACTGAGCAAAACTGAACATAATCCTTCAGGGGCCAAAAAATGGACATTCAGTGAAATATAGGACTTTCAAGCATTCTTGATGAAAAGACCAGAGCTGAACAGAAAATCTGACTTTCAAATACAAGATTCAAGAGAAACATGAAGAGGTAAACAGGAAAGAGAAATCATAAGGCACTTGTTAAGGTTGAGCTGTTTACATTCCTGCAGGGAAAGATGATATTTGTAATTCATGAGATCTTTGTCAATACTAGGGTAGTTGGAGGGAAAAAATTATATATATGTATGTAGATAGACAGATAGAGGGCACAGGGTGAGTTGAAGATGAAGGGATGATATCTGTAGAATAAAATTAAGGGGTGAGAGAGAATTATACTGGGAGAAGGAGAAAGGGAGAGGTAGAATGGAATAAATTATCTCACATAAAACAGACAAGAAAAGGCTTTTACAGTAGAGGGAAGGGGGAAAGGTGAGAGGGAATGAGTGAATCTTATTCTCATTGGATTTGGCTTAAGGAGGGAATAACATACACACTCAATTGGGTATGGATATCTATCTTACCCTACAGGAAAATGGAGGGAAGGGGACAAGAGAGCGGGGGGATAAAAGAGGGGAGGGCACATTGGAGGAGGTAGTAATCAGAAGCAAAGACTTCTAAGGAGGGACAGGGTGAAAAGAGAGAATAGAATAAATGGGAGGTGGGATAGGATAAAGGGAAATACACTTAGTTTTCCACAGCATGACTACTGTGGAAGTGTTTTGCATGACTACACAAGTATAACCCGTATATAGTTGCTTGTCTTCTCAATGAGGATGGGTAGGGAGGGAGGGAGGCAGAAAATCTGGAACCCAAAGTTTTAAAAACAAATGTTAAAAAATTATTTTCACATTCAACTGGGAAATAAGATATATAGGCAATGGGGTATAGAAATCTATCCTGCCCTACAGGAATATAGAAGAGGATAAAAGAAGGGGTGGGGGGGAGATAGAAGGGAGGTTAGATTAGGGGAAAGGGTATTCAGAATGCATGCTGTCTTGAGGTTGGGGGAGGGATGAGATGGAAATGTGGAACTCAAAATCTTGTGGATATGAATGATGAAAACTAAAAATAAATAAATGAATCTTTAAAAACAAATAAATGCTTGCTGATGGATTGACTATCTATTATTTGCCAGGAATACAGCTTCATCAATGGCTTGGAAGGCAGTTATACTAAAAAGTCCTATTCTGAGCTTCACTGCAGCATGAAGGTTGTCATTTCTCAAAAGCTATGCCAGAGGTATGTGCTACCAAACTGGAAAACCCTTCTTTATACATCCATCAGAGAGCTCTTGTCCAAGGGTGAAGTGGCTCTAGAAATGAGTGGAAATGCTCTCTAGTCTAACAACCACATGATGAATTTTAGGGGCACAGCAATTCATGAAACTTTACCAATACACAAAGAGATTATTATTTGAATTGTTAAAAGGAGTATACATATCAATCAACGAATAAGATCTGCAAATTATAGATATTACCTACCTCACAAAAATAGTTAGAATCAAATGAACAATATTTAAAGCTCTTTGCAAATATAACCTTAAATCAATGCGGACTTTATTACTACTACTATTAGAAGCTATGTGAAGAGAAGACAAATTATTTGCAAATGATATTACATTAAGAACAGCTCCTAGCCATGCTTAAAATAAAAGACAGTCAGACAGTAAAAAAGTTTCTCTAATTGTCTGAAACTGTCAGAATGTCTTATTAAGCAGATTATGTAGTCTACTTTTTTCAGTATCTTCAAAAAAATGACAGTAACATATTTGCTCGAGATGACTTAACTGCAGTGTTGCCAAGAAGTATAAAGATGGGACAGATGTGTATTTGCAAAACTTTTTAGCTTTGGGGACTACAGACTTTAAAAATTTCAAAACTCAACTGTGCTGGGGAACTTTCATCAAATTGCCCAGACAATTATTCCCATTTCTCCCCTTGGTAACTGGGAACTTTACCAATGCTTCTTGCCCTTATATTATGGATGACTTGAATACTTTTTGTTGTACACCAACAGACAGGAAAGCATTCCTCAAAAATCACTGGCATACCTGAGTTCTCACAGACCTATAAGATATAGGTCATCTGGGAGATTTTTCTTCTACTTCCATGGGCCCTAGCTTAAGCAGCCAGGTACATAATGGATAAAGGAAATCAGGAAAACCTGTGTCTCAGTCATATCTGTGTGACCTTAGACAAGTCACAACTGCTTTCAACCTCAATTTCCTCATTTATAAAAAGTTAATAATAGCACCTACATAACAAGATTATGGTGAGGATCAAATGAGAAAACATATGTAACAGCTCTGCAAACCTTAAAGTCCTACATAAATGTTATCTATGATTATTGTTACTATGAAAGGAAAGCATCTCAGAAACAACTAATTTACAAAAAAAAAAAAACAAGCGACAACATTGTCCCTAAGTTTACAACTGAGTTTCACCAATTTCCACAAGGATGGTCAGGAACTAAATAACTATACTAAATGCACAATGTTACATCTACTTGCATGTAATTCTCTATGAAAAATAATCTTCAGTGGGGACACAGAAGTTGCTCCAAAACTACTAAAAGATCATTTTGACTACTTGGTCATTATAGAAATGTTAAAGTTAAACCAACAACTTTCACTGGAAACAAATGTATATAACAAATCCAGATCCAGCTCTTTAAAAAAAGGAGGGAGGGGTATGGCCATTGTTAGCTTGCTATAATGAGTCTGACCTACAATCTGGCACCTCTCTACTTTCCTAGCTTTAATTCACATAATTCCATTATGATCCAGTCAAGCCTCTGTACTCTGAAAAACCCTTTTGACTGGAATGTCTTTCCTCTGTCTGCTGTAATCCTCCAGACATTTTAAAGCCCAAATCACAAACGCCATCTTTCCCTCCAAAGCTTTCAATCCCTCCCTCACCATCCTACCCCTAGTCCACAAGGCCTTTCCTTCTACAGAAAAGGCATAGCACTTAGCTACTACCATGCACTAAAGATATACAGTATAGATCTGTGTCTTGAGAAGCAGGGTGGTAAAATGGACAGAGATACAACTGGAAGTCAGGATAGAATTAAGCTCAAGTTCAACCTGGGAAGTAGCGTGACCCCTAGGGCCAGTTACTACATCTCTCAGTGCCTCAGACAACTCTAGAAAATTATAATAGGTAAGGCCAAGTGATTAAGTGCAAGGGTCCAGAGTTGCTTCTCCACACCAGCAAAATCACAGGTCAGTCCATAAAATCAAATCTTGCCTCAGCCATTAACTAGTTGTGTAAAATCCCACAATTTTATACTTGTGTGTTTATGTGTACACACATACATATACATGCATGTACATGTTTTCTCCCTACTGCATTATAAACTCCATTAAGAAAGGGATTGTATAAAAAAAATTTTTAAAAAAAAAAAGGGATTGTATTATCTACACTTTCTCAAACCCAGGGCCCTACAGTACACCAATTGTTGCTTCCCTACATCAATAAAATCACAAGTCTATTTATAAAATCAAATCTTGCCCTAGCCATGTACTAGTTGGGTAAATCACACAATTTTATACTTGTGTGTGTGTAAACACATACGTATACATGCATATGTATACATAAATATAACACTTACATAAAGCTTTGTTTGCAGAGCTCTTTACATGTTATTTCACTTGATCCTCACAACCACCTAGTTAGATAGATGCTATGTGTACATGCATGTATATGTGTGATCTCCCTACTATATTATAAATTTCATTAAGACAGGGACTTTATTATCTACACTTTCTCGAACCCAGCGCCCAGTACAGTGCTGTACTGTAGCTCACAGTAGGCTCAGCCGAATAAATGCATTCAACTAAGACTAATGGAAAAGATGAGATTGTACCAGATTACTCTCTAAGGTCCCTTCCGACTCAAAAATGCTAAGATCCTCATTCCCTTTCCTCAGACCAGTTTCTACAATGGAATTCCCTCGGGGAACTGAAGTACCAGACGAAGGCACGTGCAATCATGATTGCTTTTGCTTCTCTTCTCACTCCCCACCCCGCCAGCAGTCAAACCATACAGAGGCCCCCAGTCCCAAGCTCCACCCTAAGTCTGATCAACTAAGTAGGAGGGCACTGGACGGGGTTAAGGTTGGAAAGGGCGCCCGGAAGGGGCCCCGAGCTGGATCCGTCACACGCCCAGCTCCCACAGCAGGGGACCAGAAGCTCGCGTTCCAGGGGCTGCGGGCTCCCTCAGGGAAATAATGGGGGGGCCGTTACCTGCGGGTTCGGGGATCAGTCAGACAGGCGCAGCCCCTCCCCCAACTTCCCCCCCTCCAGGTCCGGACTATTGTGGCCAAACCCTCGGCGGCCCCCCTCAGCGTCCCGTGTATCCGCCGCTCCCCTCCCTCTCCGGTCTTCTGGCGCGTCAACTGCCCTCCCCACCCCGGAGTCTTCCCTCCTTCTCCAGGCAGGCGGGCTGGGCTGGTGGGCTGCACGGGGCGCCGAGGAGACTCACCCGATCCTCCGTACCCGGTCAGCAACCCAGGCGCTTCTCCCGACGCTGCCGTCTTGCTGGTCTCTCCACCAATGCTAGCAGCCGCTCAGGGGACGGAGGCGGGATTCGGAGCCCAGGACCAATCATAGAAGACGCAAGGCACGTCCGTAGGGCACGTACCTAGTTCCCGCCTCTGGAAGGGAAAAAAACACAGTTGGCGCGAAACTCAGGGACTGAGTATCACCTGCAAGCCCACAAATGTCAATATTGTAAAGAAAAGGGGCGGGGTCTGGGCTGGGAGGAAAGGGGCGGGGCCTGAACAAACTCCGCTGGGGAAAGCAGAAAGTGAAAGTTAATAACGGAATGGGTCGTCCTGCACCTGAGTCTGTGGCCAAAGGGCAACCTGGACCACACAGAAAAACATCTAGAGGGGCCCACTTGAGCAAATTCAGTTTTGCCATTAGGGAGAAGTCTGAGCCTCTGGAAGCAAATTGATTTCCTATACCTTCACGCTATTCAATCAACGAGCATTTCTTATTAAAAGCTAGGTGCTGAGAATAAAAATACAAAAATTAAGCAGTTCTGCGCTCTTAGTTTATCTAGGGAGAAAATGTATCTGTGATATTGATATGTATATTAAATATCAAATTTATCTTATTTTTATTAAATACAGCTGATTGAAAATGTAGGCTGAGGAAGAGTGAAGATGTCAGGATGATTATAAAATTGTGTGAACCTGAGTGACAGGAAAGAGGGTAGTGGCCTTGAAAAAAAAAATTAGGAAAATATTGTATGTGGTTTATTTAATCGGAATTAACTTCTTCAATCTGAAACTACTTATAAAGGACAACTTGAGAGACACTGCTGCCTGGCCCCACCCCAACACTCAAAAACACATTCTCCCACTTACCCACTTAGCCAATTCCATCAATTATTTCTTAGTTACAAAATCACAGAATCCAAGCTAGAAGGAAGCAACATATTATAGTGGAGAAAGAGTCAGGGTCACTCCTCTCCCCTCTGAGTCACATGCACAGTATTTTAGAAGCACAATCTGGGCGCCTTTTCCAAATTCTGAGATCTCCAGAGAAGCTTTAAAAGATTCACTCAGGGGTAGCTAGGTGGTGCAGGAGCACCAGCCTTGTAGTCAGGAGGACCTCAATTCAAACTGGACCTCAGACACATGACACTTACTAGCTGGGTGAACCTGAGCAAGTCACTTAACCCTGATTGTCTCACCCAAAAAATAAATAAATAAATAAAGAACACTCTGTGTGGATAGTGGGTCTGTGACACTGTGGTAAAAGAGCAGAAAGTTTAAATTTATTTTATGTAGTGCCCTCTCTGGTCTACCCTCCCATCTCTGTCTCTCTGTCTCTAGCTCTCTCTCTCTCTCTCTCTCTCTCTCTCTCTCTCTCTCTCTCTCTCTCTCTCTCTCACACACACACACACACACACACACACACACACACTCTTAATGACACTGGGGATTACTTCAATTTACTCTATGTATCCACACTCCTAAAAGTATATCTCACGAGTTTCCATCAATTTACCTTTAAATTTACCTTTTAGTCGTCCAGAAACACAATTAGTCCAAGGCACAGGCATTTCCTGCAGTAGCATAGTAAGAACAAAAGCAAAACAGCATCTGCACCATAAAACCTGGAGTGTAATCTCCAACAAACGTGCATAGCATAAGTGGGAGGAGTGGCTTCCCAAAGAGGTCACATGAGGACAGGCACACATGTAGGGAACATCTCTGATGCTGCAGGGTTGCAGGGCCCCAAATATCTTCACACTGCTCCTACAGATGTTGGTCTCACAGCCTCTGTTGTATGTTGCTTTACTGCTTGGTTGTAGTCAATACTGTCCCTAACTATGCAGTTAGCTGACATCCTAAACTAGGTTACTACTATGCACTTTTTGGATAGAGTCCCATACTATAGGGCTAGCTGACATCTTGATTCTGGGGCCTGCTATAACCCAAGCAGTATCCCAGCTCTGGGCTCTGTCTTTCCGATAGTTCTCAATAGTTGCAAATGGACTCCTTGGAATGCTTGGAACCTTTGAATTCATAATCAACAAACTTCTCTACTACCTACAAATATGCCCGTGTCTCCCCTCCATCCACCAAAAAAACCTCACTTGATCCAACCATCCCTGGTAACTATTGTCCCATATGTTTCCTACCTTTTGCAGCTAACCTCTTTTAGAAGGCAATCTACAATAAATGTCTCGCCTTCTCTCTCTCTTAACTCACTACAATCTGGCTTCCAACCTCATCATTCAAACCAAATTGCTCTCTCAAAGTTACCAGTGATCTCTTAATTGCCAAAGCCAAAGGCCCTTTTTTAATCTTCATTCTTGACCTCTCTTCAGCCTTTGATACTGTCAATCACCCTCTTCTCTTTGATATTCCCTTCTCTCTAGATTTTTGGGACACTGTTTTCTCTCCTGCTTCTCTTCCTACCTTTCTGACTGCTCCTTCTCAGACTCCTTCACTGAATCTTCATCCACATCAAGCCGCTTAACCATGGGTGTCCCACAGGGCTCTGTCCTGGGTACCCTTCTATTTTACCTCTATACTACTTCACTTGGTGACCACATCAGCTCTCATGAATTCAATAATCATCTCTATGCTTTGAATTACCAAACCTACTTATGCAGTCCTACACTCCCTACTGACCTCCACTCTCTCATCTCCAGCTACCTATTAGACATTCCTAACTGTATTTCCCATAGACCTCTTAAACTCAACAGGTCCAAAATTAAACTCATTTTCTTTCTCTCCAAATCTTCTTCCCTTCAAAACTTCCCTATTATTCTTTTTAAATTTTTTCAATTTATTTGTTTTATGTATGGAATAAAACAAGCATTTCCATAACATAGTACAACTTAAAAAAATGATTGCATGCAAAACTGCAAGTCTATTATGTACACCTTACTATTCCTTCTAAAGTTATCATGTAAATTTATTTTCCCCTTTTTTTCTTCCCTTCCCCTCTCCTGCCCTAGAGATGTCTACCACTAGACAAATTTCCCTGTTATTCAAAAGGGCACCACCATCCTCCAGATCCTCCAAGCTCACAACCTAGGCGACATCCTTAATTCCTCTCTCTCTCATCCCACCCCAAGTCTAATTTATTGCCAACTCCTTTGTAACATCACTCATATACACCTCTTTTTCTGCTTTGATACTGCTACAACTCTAGCATAGGCCCTCATCTCCTCGTGTCTGTTGTTGCTGAGTCTGTTCAGTCACGTCCTACTCATGACCCCATGGACCACAGCACACCAGGCCCTTCTGTCCTCCACTATCTCTTGAAGTCTGGCTAAGTAAATGTTCATTGTTTCCATGATGCTATCTCTCCATCTCATCCTCTGCTGTCCCCTTTTCTTTTTGCCTTTGATCTTTCCCAACATCAGGGTCTTTTCCAATGAGTCCTATCTTCTCATAAGCTTCAGCTTCAGTACTTGAACTTTCAGTGAACTGCCTGAATTAATTTCTTTAAGTATTGACTGATATAATCTCCTTGCTGTCCAAGGGACTTTCAAAAGTCTTCTCCAGCACTGCAGTGCAAAAGTGGCTATTCTGTGGTGCTTGTCTTTTCTTATAGTCCAGCTCTCACAGCCATACATTGCTACTGGAAAAACCATAACTTTGACTGTGTAGACCTTTATCAACAAGGTGATGTCTGTGCTTTTTAGTATGCTGCCCAGATTTGCCATAGCTTTCCTTCCAGTCACCATCTGCAGTGATGTTTGAGCCCAATCATATAAAATCTGATGCTGCTTCCATTTCTCCTCCCTCTATTTGCCAGGAAGTAATGCCAAGATCTTAGTTATTTTGATGTTAAGCTTCAAGCCAGCCTTTACACTCTCCTCTTTCACCCTCATCAAGAGGCTTCTTAATTCCTCTTCATTTTCTGCCTAGACTATTGCAATAGCCTGCTAATTGATCTGCCTGCCACAAGTCTCTCCCCACTCCAGTCCATCCTCCATTCAACTGACAAAATGATTTTCCTAAAGTATATCTCATCTCCTGTACTGAATAACTCCAATGGTTCCCTACAATCTCCAACATGAAATATAAAATTTTCTGGCATTCAAAGCCCTTTACAACAACCTCTCCCCTACTATTCCAGTCTTCTTATGCTTACCCGCCCCCATTGCTTTTCAGTCCAGTGACACTGGCTTCCTTGCTGTTCTTTACACAAGACACTCCATCTTTCAGCTCCAGGCATTATTTCTGGTTGTTCCCCCATGCCTGAGAATGCTCTCCCTCCTCATCTCTACCTTTAACCATTTCTGGCTCCCTCCAAGTCCCATCTAAAATCCCATCTACTACAGAAAGCCTTTTCCTATCTCTTTTCATTACCTCTTTTGATTATTTCCTAGTTATCATGAATGTAGCTTGTTTGTACATATTTGTTTTCATTTTTGCCCCCCTATAGACTGAGAGCTCCTGGAGGGCAGGGATTGTCTTTTGCTTTTCTCTGTATCCCCAGCTCTTACCACAGTGCCTGACGCATAGTAGCTGCTTAAGAAAATGCTTATCGGGGCAGCTAGGTGGCAGAGTGGTTAGAGCTCCAGCCTCGGAGTCAGGAGGACCTGAGTTCAAATTCGACCTCAGACACTTGACACTAGCTATGTGACCCTGGGCAAGTCACTTAACCCCTATTGCCTCACCAAAAAGCAAAAAAATAAATAAAATGCTTGTTGAATGACTGAATAAAAGTTGGGGTTTCAGGAAGAAATGGTGCCAGCATAGCCAGTGGTGGGAAGGGGGGAAAAAAGTCTCTTTTCCTTCCTGTACCTCTAGCTGAACTCTGTAAGAGGAGAGTGGAGAAAAGTAAAGAATGACTTCAACAGCCATTCTTTTCAGCATAACTGACTGACTTCTCACCTATCAGAATTACTCTCTAGAGTAGGGACAGCTTTTTTTCTTTAATAGGCCCAAGTAAAATGGCCAGTCTTTTCAACCAATCACTAGAAGTGCCTGTATGATCTTTGTTTCCTTCACCCAATGAATTATATCTTATAATCCCTGTCGGTGGATTGATTGAGAAACTTCTTTACACTTCATTGTTTTATGTTAAG